GCTGAGATGATGTGTCATATAACGTAGTATAGTGTAGGGAAACCAAGGCTTGTCATAGTCTAGCTGACTCATCTGTTCTTTAATTAAAATATCCCCAGCGTTTGCTGGTAGCACAGATGATACTCTCCATAACCTACCTTCTAATGAGCCTTTTCATTTTGTCCCTGCATCAGCGTATTGATAAATATATTTCAGTACTGAACAAGCACAAATGTTTACCCCCAATTTTAATTGGGTTCCCAGGACCAGAGAGTAAATATTTGTTCTGCCATGCGGGTCAATCAGAAGCTGAGGCTTGTTACATAACTGTCTCTGAATGGACCATAACTTGCAGGGTGGGAGGTGGGTCTCTATGGCTTTATGTCTGCTTTCTTGTTGGGGACTTGCAGCAATTTCCTGCTAGCAAGGTGGTCTCTCCAGTGGGCATTTCTGGGTTATTCTGTATGCTGGGCCGCAGCTTAATCAATAGGAGTTCAGCTCCAGACACTCGGTGAGTAGAACTTCATGGGCCAAGATCCGTAGACGTGACATAACAAACTGAGACAATAAGGAATAATGTCGCAGAGGGAGCAGAGGGGAGTGAGCGTGAGGGGAGTGTGCGTGGGGGGAGTGTGCGTGGGGGGAGTGAGCGTGGGGGGAGTGAACACCTTACTAGCACTGCATACCCCCCCCGCTCTTTATGTACTTAAGAGTGTTCATAACCTCACCATTTTCCCCACTGCTAAACTGCTCTGGTCACTGATCTGCAGGTTATAAAATGATTAAGGTTGTGACTTGGTCAATGGCACGAAAACCTCATTTTGAAGCCTTGCTAATAGGTTTGGCTGAATGGGCCTGTATAGACCTGTATCCAAACAAAGACATATGTTTAATGCGCTGTCTGATGTCTGTTTGCTCTGACAGGTGCATGTCTCCGTCCCTGAGAGGCAGAGACTATCACCTGCCGGTGGGTGAGAGCCCAGCTGTCTTTCCGTCACTGGTTTTTACAGCTAGGCCTCCTAGGCTGTTTCAGATCAGGGCAGGCCTCCTGGGAGGGGCCTCAGCTGAGGCTAGGCACCGAATGTTCAAGGCTATTTGCGTTCAGAGGAACGTTTGGTTCGTGATCATTTAGCTGGCGGGGGGGTGGGGGTGGGGTGGGGGGGTTGATCTTAGGTGGAGAACAGTCTGCTGATTTCACTCCCTTCATGGGATGCAAACTCTCAGGCGTGACTGAGCTCCCAAAATAGCTGAATGGTCTGCTGCTGGCCCAGAGACAACTTGTCGCCACCAGAGATTGAGGACATTCAGTGGTGAAGGATCAGTCTTGCGAGAACCTCACTTTGATTGTGATTGTGGTTCTGCCCATTAATGGATAAGTAATTACTTTTATCTGGTACATTATATTATTTTTCCTGCACGGATCTCACCAGAACTAAACCATAGGCCTATATTTCCCAGCTCTCACATGCATAGTTTGACCTTGATTGACCTTGTTCTGGTTTCAGTTGAGCAAAAGACATGGCCCCCTTAACTCACACCGTGCTTTACTGAGGTGTAGGCGGAGCCTAAGGCCCATCACCAAGGTTCCATGAGATTGGCCGCTTTTCCAGCCCGGAGAATAGGTCATGTTTTCCTTGTTTTGTTGTTGTTGTTTGACACCTTAGAGAAGTGGCACCTCATACTGTATATGCCCCGTTACAACCCATCAGGCTCATATGGCGAGGTAACATAAAGGGGTGACCACACAAGGATAATTAGTCCACAAAAAGTTTTATTAGAAAAAATGTAAACGTACACAAACATAAACTAACATCAGTATAGTGAGAAGTGCAAGGTGTTCAAACTAAAACGGGAGAGAGGGAACACAGTGCATCAGTCTGGCAGCTTCTTTAACAAGCCAGAAGCCTATCAAGCAAACTGCCAACACCTGTGCACTAATGACACCTGTTTGCTGGTGCCACCCTGTAAAGCAACCAATCGCAAAGCAGGAAACAGAGGCAGAGCCATAACACCCCTCTGTGTCCCAAACCGTTGAACGACCTCATGCAGCCATATAGACATGCCAGGTCTTTCTAGAACCCCCCCCCGGGGCCTTCGCTTTTCCCATGGCTGTCAGCTTTATTCATAAGCCGTGAGTCAGAGGCTGACTGATTCCTGTCAGAAGCTGCTGTAAACCCCGAAGACCCCTGGCTTGGTGAGTGGCCTATAGCGCCACCTTCCTGCAGAATAGTATCTGACTACAGTGCAAAATCCAAGAAGCCCTCTCGTGCGTGGGGAGCCGAATTCAGCCCCCCCTCCACCATGATGGCATAGAAACAGTCGCTGGATTACAGATAAACTTGGGGAAGTTCTTACAAAATAACTTTGGGATTGATGGACCTCAGGGCAGAGCAGGGAACTTTAACCTTGAAACAACAGACAAATCACTATTCACAATATCGACTGCGCCTGTTCATTGTCACTGTTTAAATGGAGCCTCGTTCCAAAAAATAGCCATGGTTCATGGTGAGTGGGAAGAAGGCCAGTGGAGTGCATTGAAAGCTAGAGAATAATATGCATAAATTTGTTTTCATGATTGTTATTTAGGTCATAAAAGACGAGCTGCCGGAGAGCACTGGTACTTCTGTGTGCGTCTATGTATAAATTTCTTAGAGAGATTTACTGTTTCTGTTCTGAATTGCAATTAGTGTCCCCCATGTGGCATCATGACAAATAACCCACCCTGTAATGATTCCTGCCTCCTGTTTAGGTGGGGGGGGGGTTGTTACATGTGCCGGAAACATCCCGTTAACTTCTGTGAAAGCCAATATGACATCCTCTGCCAGCTGTCGGGGAGTGTCGGGGATGCTGTCACACGATCTGTTGCCCGTAGCAACGTTGCTGACATGCAGCCAGCAACATCCCCTCCCTATACAGGTGAGCCCGGCGGAGGTGGGGCATGTTTGTATGTGTGGTTTCCTGTCCGACGCTGCTGGGGCTGGCACATCGCAGTGTACTCGCAGCACAGTTGCGACAGATCGCATGCAAGTGGGCATGAAGCCCCGCCCACCCTGGATATAATCACATGTCGTGTCTTTGGGCCCAGTTAAGCCCAGTCACCCAGCGACGAGCGGGACTGAGTATGAGGCCTGACTGCTAGTTGAGAAGGCCGCCTGACACAGGCCTGCTCCGGCTTGGCCTGGTTTTGGCCAGAGAGGCGCTGTTGGCTTTCTGCAGCTGCCTGCCTGATCGGGGTTTTTTGACTTAACTGTCCCGGTTACCCAAAACGTAAGGGGCACAAGAGTGTCTGTCTGAATTAAACAGCCGTGACATTTCTGCGGCCTTTTCATGTCAGGGCTGCCCTTTGTAACAGCAGATCAGCACCAAACAGACGAACGTCTCACCTCAGAGGGACAGATCAGGTCACAGCAAGTGTGTGCAGCTGCCATAGCAGGGCCAACAGAAAGAGGCAGCTCTTCTCTCGTTTTTTTCCCTTCCTCCTCTGCCTCCCACTCACCGGCTCGGGAACATGCCGCTGCCGGCTTAGCGCCTCATCTGCAGGGGCCCCGGAGTGACACATGCACAGGAAGTGACATCACCAGGAGTGGGGGTTGACAGATCGGCCCCAGGAGGCCCCTCTCAGGCCTGGTCTCTCTGCATTAGCACTAACAGTGATTGAAGTCTGCGATGTTGCCTTGGCTGCCTCCCACTGCTGCAGGTTTGAGGTCCTCTGATTCCCTGGATTTTAATTTCAGTGCAAATTCACTCCCCAAAAGACATAACAAACCAAGGGAAAGATGTTGGCTTTCTGTGCACACTGAGTGTGCCGTAGACATTATCAGTCTTGCTGGCAGTAGCTGTCTACTGTGCTCTACATGTGCTGGGAAGGGGGGGGGTGGTCAGGATGCTAACCTTCTTGTCCTGACCTTTGAACCCTGTCAGTTGAAGTTCCAAGGATGGGGTGAATTGTCCTATTCTGGGTTTTTTGTTAATAAATTTCTACCCATATTTCAGCGTCTTTACATGTATTGTAAGCCTATTGTTTGCAGAAAGAAACAGAGCTTTAGAAAGAGACTAATCAAACAGAAAAGGTGCACTGGGATCTGCCTGCTCAAGCCCACAATCTGCATCAGATAGAAGGCATCAGCGTGAGCCGTCTGGAGATGCCCTGGGATGTCTGTAACCAGACGTTTTCATCATCATCATCATCATCATCAGGCCTAGAGCCTATTCCATGGACTGGCTGGGATGCCTGTATCTCCAGCAATGTATTTTTATGAGATATCCCATAATCCATTTGCTTGCACGGCAGCGGTAATGTGTCTTACTAAGCAGCCCTAAGTCTATTTGGCCTGGAGTTTAAAGCAGCCACAGTCAAGCCTGGTTTTGCTGATCATGTGACCTGTCAATAGGCCCCCGACCAAACTGAATGGCAGTAATTAACTCTGCCAAGGAGCGATGCCCCACAGCTCTATGTTTAAGCTCGTTAAGCAGCCGCATGAACGCGAGCTGTGGCCCGTTAACAAGGTTGGATGGAGCCGGAAGACGCCGTGGAGAGAACCAGCCTTGTTAGTCTAAAGCAGCTTGTTATCAGGACCATGACAGGGTAAGCGCTGACGTCACATGACACAGATAGGGTCATCTGGACCATAAGGTCAGAGGTTAGGGGTCTTCATCAAGTGGCAGGAAGCCTTAAATACAAACACTGCTGTTTCATAAGTCCACTTTTATTTATTGCGTTACAATTTATTGTATTATTTTTTTATTTTGAAGCTTCATTATATAATTTTAAACAATTTCAGCTGTCACAAAGGAGCCGAATTGAAATCATCGTGAATTCAGCAAAGGACGGCTGGTTCGCACAGGAAGACAGACCCTATTCTACCGCGGCATTCGCTCGCAGCACGCCGCCGTCGATGTCAGGGTTCGGCCGGGGAACGCTGATCTGAGAAGCACGTAGTCCAACGTGTCTAGAGAGTACGGTCGAAAAAGACTGGGTGTGTGGGGGTAGGGAAATGAGGGAAACCATGGCAACAAGCCTGCCAGAGGTGATTGTGCTAAAACAGTGTTTCCCAACTTGATCCTCAGGGGGCAAAAACGCGGACTGTCTGGGGTTCCCCAAGGACCGGGTTGGGAAACACACCATTTCATCCAAAGGAAATATATGTTGGTAAGCTCCTCCCATATGGAATTTGGCACTGTCTCCAGTGTCCAACACAAAACAAGGATTTGCTTAGCTTGTTAAAAGTTAGCAGCGATATGTAGCGATATTTAACTCTTCTTTGCCCTCCAGATTGAGGAGAGGCAAACTGTTAAAACTGTTAGTCACCTTGAACTGCAATATTTCCTGTCATTTCAAAAGCTCCTAAGCCATTTTAATTGCATGTAACTGTAATTTCTGGATGTCAATAAACTAGAAATCTTTTACAATAGATAATTTGGTGATTTAGGCGGTGACATCTATAAATGTCATTTGCAAAAGAGCAGTAGCTGACTTCTTCAGCAGACGGATTATGAATAATTTAGTCATTTTCATTTTAATTCAGCTTATCTATCCTGACAGTTACCCTTTCGGTTTTTGGTTGACTTTCAAACCAGTAGTTTTCTGGTATTAGTTTCTGTAAACTCGCTTGTCCAAACAGGATGCGGACCACACAAAATGAAAAAGCTCACTCCTGCCTGCCTCCAGTAACCTGAATCATTTGCCTCAGGGCCCATTTCTGCATTTTCCTATGTCATTAATACGGGAGACTCTGCGGGTCCTTGGTTCCACTCTCTAAAACTCAAAACTCATTCGTCATTGTTCTAAACCCTGGCTGTAAAAACCCAAAGCCATGCATATTACATATGGCTCAAACCCTTTAAACCAGCAGAAAGGAGGACCATTAATTTAAAAAATTAAAAAGCTCCACGTTCTACTCTTAGTTCTTCTAAAGCACTTTGAGATAAATTGCTTTTAAATGGCTGGACAGCTTGTGCACTGCTTCACATTATCAGTGCAGTTAAGTTATAATGCCATTATGTAGCAGTAATTTCATTTATTAGCCTTGTATCTCAGTAACTCAGATACTATGATAGTATATGTCACACTCAGTTAGAGCACCATCTAGTGGCATCAGAAAATATAGCAAATGGTTCATGAAGCTTCAATTGCCCATCACTAAAACTGGGGTCCGGGTTCTAGAGTTACACACGTGCTCTCACACAGTGTTCTCACACAGCGGATACAGTTACAGCCACAGGGAAGATCCCACTCTGCTATGAAGGGTGTTTTAATGAGAACATCTGAGGGCTGATCATTATCTAGGAGCCATTATTTCTATAACCATAATGATAGTAATAATCACGTCTGAGGTAATGGCAGGATTAGTCAGCCTGAAAACAAAGGATTCTGATTATTTAGATTCCTCTCTGAATGTTGGATCCATTCATCCCTGGCATAGAGAACCCATTGACTCCACTCCTTTGATTTATAAATTGTCTCTCAATTAGTCAAAAATGAGACTAATTTGCATTCAGAATTTCTTTAACAATTACACCAATTGATAGCTATACAAGTCATAATGATCACATAAACTATAACTTTTGTGATGTTATTTGTAATAAGCAGAGCTCTGAGGTGGGATGACTTGATCTAGATGTCCTTCATGATGTCTAATTAGCTTTCAGTAAACAGATGTGGTCAGTTGGGTGGTCATTTTTGTCAGAATTTTGAGAATCATTAAAAAGATGCTATTTAAAAGTATTCTAACTGTACATCTAATTGTGGCTAATTGCCCTTGTCACTCGCTGTTTGCATGTGCACCGTGGTTTTGGGGAATTGCTGTTTCGTGCTAGCGTACACCTGTTTACAGGGGCACCATAAAGCGGGGGAAAGTTACAACGATTCCAGGGGCCCCGGAGTGACTGCGGCCCTAAAAAATTTGGAACATGATCCGATTGATCTGGGTTGGGGGGCCCAATATAATATGCTTTCAGGGGGCCCAAAATCTTTAGCGGCATTAGCCGGCATTCCTCATTGGTTATCTGGCCTCTTCCCTCTGGCAGAAGCTGTATGAGTTGAGCCCAGCAGCATGAGAGAAGCCATGGCCGGCTCGGAGCTGTCGGTGGCGGCTCGGCCCAGCGCCCAGCTCGACGTGCCGAGCTTCTTGGACACCCTGGGGCTGGATAATAGCACGGCGAAGCACTGCTATGGCGCACACTCCCGCAGCAGCGTCCTGGAGGGCCTGCCCTTCGGTGGGGTGCCTACCGTGCTGGCCATCAACGTCGTCATGTGGCTGGTGAGTACCCAGCACGGCTGCCAGTCCCCTACCTTCAATCCAGGAGAGAAACCATCCTGCCTCTCACAGTCTCTCACCCCCTCCATCTTGCATCCGTATTTCATCAGTATTTCCTCATCAGTTGCTATCTCTCTCTCTCTCTCTCTCTCTCTCTCTCTCTCTCTCTGTTCCCCCATCAATCCCAGCATGCTCTTGGCTCGGAGGCTTCTCTCTAGCTGATGTGTCGTTTTTGTCATCCATGCCGGAAGTTCCATTGCGAACGTCTGTCCTGTAAGACCCTGGAAGGGAAATCTCACCGCTCTTACACACTCAGCACTGGTTAATTAACTCCCCTTCCCCGTGTATTATTCATGCACCTATGACAGCTGCATAAATTCGGCCTGGAGGTGAAAGTGGGGCACTGTGCATCCCATGCGTGCCCTAGGCTGAAAATGCTGGTCTCCAGCATCCGCCCGTGATCTATTAATCGGCCAGACCATCCCGCATCGCTGCTCTTTAACGACGCCGATTAAGCAACGGGCCTTAATTAGCCGCTATAGCTATACATGAGGGCCGCTGCTCATGCGGTTTGCCTCACCCACCCTGCAAAGGAAATTGATAGAGAGTGTTGGCAGCAGATGGAGGCACAGAGAGAGGACTGCCGCCCAGAATAGAATAGAAATAAGTGGGGAAAGGGAAGTTTTTTTTTGGTTATAGATAAGGTAATTGACCGTGACTGTACCTCAGAGGCAGACCATTTAATGTGTGTGTCTCTCTCTCTCTGGAACCATCTGTTTCTAATGTACCATGTGGCTGAACGTGACCCTTTAAGAACCAAAAGGGTTTTCGTGAATACGCGTTTTGTTGGATACAGGCCAGAAGGTGACGCTATGAGGGGGTGGCACGGTGATCAGCACTGTTGCCTCACTGGTGTCCTTGGTTCGAGTCTCTTCCCTGGCTCTGTGTGGAGTTTGCATGTTCTCCTGTGTTGTCGTTGGGATTCCTCCGGGTTCTCTGGTTCTCTGGTTTCCCCCACAGTCCAAAGACATGCTACACTGTCCCCATAATGTCCCCATAACGTGATAAATATCCGTTCTATTTTATAAAAATCGGTGACTGCTA